GGGTGTGGGAAGTGGTCGTTTGTACAGGTGATTGTTTTTGAGTAGGTGATCTTTAGAGATGGTTCAACAGCATTAATTACTAAAGTGGCTGTTCGTATAGCGCCTGCTTTGTTTTTGTTTTTTTGCGTGATGTCTGGAAACTCGCTCACCGAGTCACTTATCAGACACAGACCTGCGTAGCTCTGTGGAAGATGAACCTGCTCACTCCCCCAGGGGAAGCCAGAGAGAAACCAGGCGAAGAGACCGCCAACCAGCGGGAACAAAGACTGCCATGGGAACTGTTGAAAAGATTTCTTTCAAGCTGAGGCGCTCCATCTTCTTTGTTGACGTTACAATATTGCGCGTGTTTGTCCTGGTGAGCGCCATGCACCTTTTAGACTCAGGCGTGAGTGCCTGCGCACTGAGGCACGAGCACTGGCGGGTTACTCACCACAAATCGGTTTTATTTTGTTTCGTAAAAGTTTTACGGCGCTCGCAACTGCATAGGGTCAAAAGAGCGCGTGGGACACATGATAGTTAATTTCAAGTTAGTTCGTGGCACGGCTTCGTTTTGCTTTGTGAATCGAATTAGTTTCAAGTTGTTTCCTTTCAGAAAAAAATGATGTGTTAGCGTGAAGCGTATAACCTTGATTGAAACTATTTATAAGTACCACCAGAGGCACGCAGAAGACGCGAGCTCGTTTCTCAAGTAGGGACGTCTGTTTTATGGTGTACAGCCGTATGTTAGAACACTGTAGTGCCGGTGTCTGTTTTGGGGGTTTTGTTTTTGTTTTTGTTTTTGTGTATGTTTTTTTAAAATCAATTTCATTTTTTAACGTTATCTCAATATTTTTCTGTCTTCATTTTATCTATTTATTTTCATTCTATTTATATCTTCTTCCATTCATTCATTCATTCATTCATTCGTTTCTTGATTCATTTAGTTATTTATTTATTTGTTTTGTATTTATCTCAGTACCGCTAGTCACACGGCTCGGCATGGAATTTGGCCATGCAATAGCTCAGCAGGTATCATGCTAGACTACAGTGATATTGTCATGTCCCTGGAGAATTCCTCGGCGAAAGAAATGGGTGGTTGGGGGGGGTGAGGGGATGGGGACAGGTTATTATAAAATAAAACTCTCCACTCTCTTAGCTCAAGCTCAGTGCTAAGGGGGGGGGGGG